CTGGGCTCTAGCAGGGTCAGAGACACAGCTGGCAGTGTCCGTTTGGCTTTGGGATTAAGACACTGAGTTGATTTCCCTCTGGAGAGCCACAGTTTAACCAAGAACTCCCTTAGAAATGTGATGAACGCACATCCCAAGTTTTTCTGAGACAATTTCCAATTCAGATCTCAATTTTGGGTTGACCCCAACAGTACCCATATATGTGAGAAACCACAACATGTGGGAGATCATGATTAATGTAATCAGAACTGACCCGTTTGTCCGGGACTTTTGAACCTTGGCGTAGGAGTCGCTTCTGTTTTCCTCAGAATGGGCAGGATGGCTTCTGGCAGCAGATTTGCAGGGCTTGGAGAAGAATGTACCTAGGATGCCATGGAAAGTGCTCTGCTGAGTGAAATACATCATCCCAAAGCACTGCTGGAATATGTGATGAGCAGGTGGTGTTATTCACCTCCTGAATAATGCAGCACCTGCCATATTTTGCTATCTATAGTTGTGTGGTGTGTGAGGTGTGGCACAACCTGTTATCATTCATTATTAACGGAGTTGGAGGGGAAGTCAGGAGGCACCATATATTTAACCAGAGGATAAAGAGGGGCAAGAAAGCAAATGACTCATAAATCGTGTACTCACCCAGGAGCCACAAGGAGAAGGAGCCATCCACATGATGCATCTGGAAAATGCCAAACAGATCACAAGGAAAATCTAGGCCAGACAGGTCTCGGGAGGGCTGTGGTCAGGACCTCTCGTTGGACATGAGCCGGGGGAAGTCTGGGCTGAATTGGAAAGTGTGCGAGTTATAAAATATACACTGACATATAGCTTTATTAATTTCAGGTCTAGGTCTAAAAGTGTGGTTCAGTAAGCATCCTTAGGGGAACTGCTTTAATGAGCAGATAGGAATAATGTTTGATCAGCAAGTGTGTCTAAGTGGGTGCTTTGAAAAAGCAGGAAGGTCTTTGAAGTCAGTTCTCACCATGTTTAAATGATGTGGTTTTTAAAAAATTTTATTGTTAGTTTCAGGTGTACAGAACAATGCAATAGTTATCCTTTTCACCCTCACAAAGTAACAACCCCCCTCCCCTATCTGTTGCCCTCCCTCCCCCGATATCATGCTTATCCATTACAATTGACTCCATTCCCATTCTCTACTCCATGTCCCGTGACTATATGTATATATAATTGTAGTTGACATACATTATTATTCAACATCAGCTTCAGAAATACAGTGCGGTGGTCAGGCCTCTACGCCGTCTATGAAGTGGTCTCCCTAACAAGACATGAGTCCATCTGGTCCCCTAAGAAATATTTACAACATTATTAATTATATTCCCCAGACTGTCTTTTCTATCCCTGGGCCATATTGTTGTTACCAATTTGTATCGTCTCATCTCTTCCCCTTCTCTTTCATCTCCACCCCCTTAAATGATGTGTTTATGTTTCCGTCTCCCCACTAGACAGCAATTGTGCATCTCCATCTTTGAATTCTCAGCACCCAATATGGCAGCTGCCATGCAGTAGGTGCTCAATAAATATTACTTGAATAAAAGAAAATTAAGCAGCGACATAGTAAAGGCTATTGGTAAGAAAGCAAACTTCAATGTCAGTGTCCTTGAATTCTCCCTTAGAGATTTGTTTTTTTGGCTTAAACCTTTTCCTCCCCTGGCACTGGCTTGAAAAGTTAATCCCCAGAAAGGGGAACNCTCTCAGGGTGCTCCCACCTGCAGCATCTTTTCTGTTGCCTCAAATAAAGGCCCCACAGGCAAGCCCTGGGGACTGAACCCACTTCCCTTTCCCCTTGAGGTTCTTTTGGGGACCGTGTTACCTTCTGGTGCTTCACAGATAAATAATGTGAGTCACTAGTGAGTCAGGAGCAAGGACAGGCGAGGGAGAACGTGGAACCTGATAATTATGTCCATTCATCCCTCTGAAAGGCTTCCCAGCTGGCAGGCATTTCTGCTTTGACCTGGGTGGGAAGGTGCCAGCACCTTCTCTGAGAGGCCTCTCCTGACCATGCACCCAGCTCCTTATGTGGACCAGGGGAACGCAGAGGACTGTGGGAGGTGGAGGAGGGCAATCTGGGCACCCCAGGAAGGGCCCAGCCCTCACAGACTTTCGGGGTGCCCCCGCTGAGTTCTTTGCTCCTCAGAAGATGTCATTGGACCCAGCTCCCTCCTAGATGGCTTTGAGGGACCACAGAAAGGTGGTGCTGCATCTGCTCCCTGCCCCAGCCTCATTCGGGAACAAGGTGGCTTGGACCTTGCCAGCCCCAGAACAAGCCATCACACTCATGCCCCAGGGCCACTGCAGGCACGAGTTCTCTTCCGGAGCCTTCTTCCCCAGGACCCACCTGCTACCTTATCACCCACTTCATGTCCTGCTCGGTGTCCCCTTCTCGGGGAGAAGACCACCCTATGTGGAGCAGCACCCCTAACCCACCTCAAGGTCCTCATCTCCCGTGACTCCCTTCATTTTTTCCACAGCATTTTCCACCATCTGACCCATTACATAGTGTGTCACCAGTTAGTTTATTGTTGGTATATCTGTCTCTCTCTAGCAGAAATTAAGTGTCCTTGGGGCAGGACCTTTGTTTGTTCACTGTTGAACCCCAGCTCCCAGCCTGGCATGGCCTTTCGGTAAATATAGAATAATGTAATACAAGAAATATTTGATAGGTATATGTACATAATAAAATAAAAATAGCATGAATGGATAAAGGAAAGGTATCCTCAGTCAGCTGTGAGACACAATGCAAGTGATCTGCTGATTAATAATAGAAGGATGTTTTACATTTTATTTCACAAGTTTGGTGTGAAAGAAATAGCTCATGGCCTCATTTTCTTTTGATTAAGGAAAAGACTAAACATTATCCACCAGCTGGTGGGAAATTTGGTCTATCACTATCGAGGCACCTTCCTTCTACCTCCCCCACCCTCCCCCCAGGCTCATGTGAAGGTCAAGGGGGCTTGTGTGGAATAAAGATTGGGAGGACTCCCCGGGGCCACCGCGGCCTCAGCCAATCTGTGCACTGCTCTCTGGAGCCTTCTAGAGCCCTAGGACCAGTCTTCTGAGGTGCCCTAAGTGGTGCTCTTTCTGAGGCCCTGCTTTTCATGTAGAGGGAGGCATGGGAGGAACCCCAAAGTACATATCAGACTTGCTGGACCTGAGGAATTTTCTGCTCCGCTGTGGTGGACTCACCACTTCCACCCACCCCTCCTCAGACCCGAAGGCCCTCCCACATCCCTCCAGGATGGTGTAGCTCACTTTCTTTCAGCCCCCATCCAACCCACGTGGACCTAAAGTAAGAGAGAGAGAGAAAAAAAAAAAGCCAAGCTACCTTCTTGGAATGGGGGTGGGAAAATACAAATGAAGAATGCAATAAATTATCCTCCCAGGAAAGTTAAGTACTGATGTTTTGTGAATGATTTTCATCTTTTATTATTATTTTTTCAAACAGAGCCATGTAATAATAGCACAGTTATTTGCATTCCTATTCTATGCTTTGTTGAGTGGGAGGGAAAGGGCTCCTGAATGGGCTCACCTGGGCTTCCTTCGCTATGGTGAGCATGTCTATTGTGCATGAGGCAGAAGGCTGAGGGTGGCTGACCCAGCCTGTGGCTGGAAGACCCCAAGGTGTGCTGTGTGCATCTGACTCCTGGCTCAGGGGCCAGGACTTCGGTGGCAAAAAGGACTGAACTAGGAGTCAGGACTCCTGGTTCCACCAGCTGAGTTGCCACCAGCTGGCTGAGAGGTCACTTCCCACTGTCTGCCTCCGTTTCCTCAGCTGTGATGGATGAGGCCCACTCTGCCTCCCTCGTAGGACTGCGGTCAGGAACCAGCAAGATGATATAAGTCAGGAGTTGCCAATGGCGGTCCCCAGGCTGCATTCAGCCTGCAGCACGGAGTATTTGGTCTGCATGGTGTTTCAAGTTTGAAATAACGATCCACATTTAAAATTTGGGAAATTAAAAGTCTAGATTTTTAACATCTCTTGGAAAAACGAACAGAGTGACATTTTGGTGTAGGGTGCCTATCTTCCCATGTGCTAACAGTGGGCTGGGGCTCAGAGCACCTACCCAGGCAGGCAGAACATACACAGGAGGCAGTTCCTACTGCTGCTTTTTCATTCATTCTCTGTCTGGTCCCAGACGCTTGCCTTTGCTTCCTGGTGGAAGTGAAGCACTTCGTGGGAACATGAAATATTCATGTATGGTTGGATTTTTATTGGGTGTGTCAGTCAGGGTGTGTTACAGTCTAAATGGTCCAAGGAGAGCAAAGATGATGAGTTGTTAAGGGAAGCTGAGGGCATTACGGAACCATCCCTCATTTCCTGGGCTGTGCACGGCAAGTAGATTGGCTTCTTACAGGCAGTCAGGATTCCACTTTCTCTGGCCTAAGGCACTTACCCACCTGCTTTTCATCTTCCCAAATGTTGCCACCAGCCCCCTCCTATCCCTGTCTCCAAGCTCATTGTCTTTATTGATTCCTTTGCTGTCCTTTCAGCCAGGTTAGAGGAGGGAGTGGAAATAACTATGTGTGTTGAGTCCATCATCTTAAACCAGGACGAGTGGCCTTCTGCACTGAAAAACTAGATTTCATTAAAAGCTTTGCAGTGTGTCTGGCCTCTGAGGACTGCACAGTGTTGGCAAGAGAGAGCACTTGCGATGTAAGTCTCTAGAGGCGGGAACTGAGGGACATACCACACAGGAGGTAGGGGAGCTCTGCGACCTTGTTCTGGCTAAGCGTCGTTTTTCCTGTGTGTACAATGTGTCACCTCAGCTCTGCTGGTAAAGGTGAAACAAGGGAATGAATGTAGATGAGCAGAGAACGCCGTAAAGGTTTCTTATCATCCTCCTCATGGCTGGACATCACCCTCATCTCCACTAAGTGCATGATCAAGGTCATGTGTCATTTGGCACAAGGACAGAATGTGGCCTCCTGGTAGACAGGCTTAACCCAGAACATGAGCGTGAGTACCGACTGCCTCGTTCTCTTGCCAGAGGCCTCCAGTTTGGTTGGCAGAATGGCGACCAGCTGGCCAATTGGACGGGGCTCTTTAATGTCACGGACGACCCAGCAGTGCAGAGCGACAGTGACTCCAGCTCCAGGTACAGACCCCGGTGAATGACCAGGGAGGGGGAAACCTGTCCTGGGGTGATCCTACGGGCCCCTGTCCCATGGCCCGTCCCCAG